CTGTAGGAAATCTTATTGTAGGAGTACTGCGGTATTCTTGGTGAATGGTGAAGTTAGTGACTGTTCGTTTATTCTGTCTCATCCTTTACTGGGGGATGCCTTTTCCCTAAAAATAAACAAACAAACAAAACAGGTAGGGTATTAAAATTTAGGACCTGTATTATGTTAGTATGTTCACCATTCTCTATTCCTCTTGTTTTCTACCTCCAGTGAGTGCCTGCGAAAAATAGTCCTGAGCATGTTAAATGATATTTTTCATAAATCATTATGGAAGTCCACTCTCTGTGCGCTTTTGTAGATGTTGACAAATGGCTAACTTTAAAAACTTTTCTTTTGTTTTTCAGATGATAGGAGTCAAACTGTGCTCCCCTTAGTGAAATCATTCTGTGAAAAATCCTTCAAAGCAGATGAATCTATCTTAGTTTCTTTATCTTTCCATTTAGGGAAACTGTGTAATGGATTATATGGTATGATTTAATGTTCTTTTAAAAAAAAAAAAAAATCTTAAAAATGAGGGAAGATTGGAGAATTTGAAGCCCTTGGAAAATATCCAGATTTGAATGTATCAAATGAAATTATAATTAGGAAAGGAAATATGAAAGTAAAAGTCTGAAATAATCTATTGCATAAATATTGAATTTTGTGAATTTCCTCTTTGGGTGTCTGTCTGTTTATTGGGTTTTTTATGTTGCAACAGGGACAGAGTTTTTTGTTTAGACAGGGTCAGAGATGGAAACATGGTGGTTTGTGTTTGTTGGTTTGACTGATTTATTTTGATTCTGTCTTGGATATTCTGGATCTTGTGAATAGGATGACTGAATTTTTGAAACTAGAAACCTTTGAAAACACAGTATGATGTTAACCGTGTATGTTCATTTCTGTGCTTGATATCCTTTTTGAGGTACAGTGCAGAGTGTGGCCCATAAGGAACTTCAGGGGAGAAAGGAGACCTAATAGCATGTGGATTCCCAGCTGCAGCTGAGGCCAAATCTGTACCCATAATTTTTGTGGTTTTCTGTACCTTAACGTTTGAGCACAGCAGATCTTTCCCTGATCATTCTGCCCATCATACACCCTCTACACAAAGCTTGGCTGTGGAGGGGTGGCACAGAATCATGGTTTTACATTATAGAGAATTTCCCCCTAGACTCTTATATCCTTTGATCTGTCTTACAGATCTTTAAAATGATCCTTTATGATCATGTTAGACACTATCAAAGTGACCATTGCTTCTCCACAAATAACTCAAAAGGGCTGTTCCACAGTGTCAAACTCTTATTTACAGAAACATAGAGCTAGGGTAGTCCATCCTGTTTTTATCATGTCTTCCCAGTTGTCTTTTCTCTAGGTTGACTGACTTTAATTGCTGATCTTTCTTCACCTCCGAACTCTGTCTGGCAAGTTCATATTTTTCTTGAAGAGTTAGGAGAGCTTCAAGAACCTTAGGAGAGCTGAACAAAGTGAAAGGGTTACTTCATGTGTCCTGCAAGTTATATTGCTGTTTACATTTTTCAGTATGAAAAATTGCCTTTTTTTTTGCAACAGTTTGCAATAGTTTGACATTATTCCCCGCCGTGCAGCTACTTGCAGAAGTAGCTCAAAAGTCTGGGGTTTTTTATTTGGGTTTGTTTGTTTTTATTTTGATAAAACTGTCACCTAGTTAGTCTTTCTCTTTCCTGGCCTTGTGCAGGGAATGCATATTTGGCTAAGCATGGTACCTTACCTCTGTCCTAATGGAATAATAGTCTAAGGTTTTAAGACCATATGTCCAGTTTCTGAAGATCATTTTAAACTCTACCACCTGAAGAACTAACAGTCTCCCTCCTAGGTTGCTGTTATCAGGATATTTAATAAGCGTATTTTCTAATCTAACATCCAAAAAACCAGTGAAAATACTGAATACTACCAGGACTAGGATAGACCTTTCTTTATACAGTTGCCTATCTTGTCAGTGACACGTGGGTACTTTCTCTTAACTGCTTTTCCAAGCAGTTTTGCAGCAACTTTGTGGTTTTTAATCTCTCTTTCCTGATCCCTTATTTTGCTTATGAAAAACATGAGCTTTACTGCCTCTTTCGTATTCAGTCAGGATATATAGGAAGGAAATGGAATCAGTTTGTCAAGTTTTGCTTTTGTCATGTTGGCTGCTACTCATTTTTTTGTTTCCCTTTCAGTAGATTCAAGTAGATTTTTTTGATTTTTTTTGTTCCAATTTTTTAAAAAACTTGAAAGTATTCTGACTGATCTGTAATTATATAGCTTGTCCTTCCCCTCTCCAACTACTAAATATCTGTACCACTTCAGTCCTTTTCCATTCTGATATCTCACTTGCTTTAAGATTTCAGCAGCTAGTACTTTAAATACTTTTGAATACTGGAATGAAGCACATCTGACCTGGCACATTTTGAAAACCTTTCATGTTTAAGTATTCACTGATCTGTTCCTTCTCTACTTAAAGCTTGAATCTTTGTCACTGTTACTAATTGTACTGAACCTGATGATACTAGTAGAGTTTGAGAAAGAAAATAAAAGCATCAAGGATTTCAGCCTTCCAATCACTGATAGCTTCCTCTCTCTCGAGTAAAAAAATGAGCCTTTCCTTGATTGTTCTCATATTACTAATGTACTTATAAAATGACTTGTAATTTTTGAAGTAATCTTGCTAGTTGCCTTCCAGTTTATTCTGAGTTTTCTAATTTTGTTCTTAAATCTCTTTATTATCTGTAGCAACATAGCCTAATTTTTCAACTTGCAGACATGCATTCTTCATGTGACTGAGATCCATAAAGATCTAAACATTTAATCAAGAAGAAACCAGTATCAGTGGAACAAATATATTCACAATCCTGCAGCTAAAATCCTGAGTATTTCAAGAATTATGTAAACAGAAATTAGGATTCACTGTATTATAGTTAGCTGTCATTTTTCTGTAATCACCTTTTCTGTATAAAGTGTACTGATGATATTCCACTAGACTCTCAGTATGGGAGGGGAGGGAGAATAAAAATTGGCATATTTGATAGATTTGTAAATGAGATTTGGGTTTTGGACATTATTAATAGCATTTGTAACGAGGAAAGTAATATTTTTTTTTTTTCCCCGCCCCCCAGGCATTTTTACTCCTGAACAGCACTTACGGTTTTTGGAATTTTATAAAAAGCTTTCCACGCTGGGTTTACAGCAGGAAAATGGACACAATGATAATCAACTACAACTTCAAACTCTGGAACAGGAAAAGAAGTATATTTCAGTGAGGAAGAACTGTGCTTACAATTTTCCAGTAAGTAACTTTAATTTAAGGTTAAATAATTTTTGTCATGCATATAGTTCACTAAATAGGACTACCGAGTGATAGAGAAGTTATTGCCAAATTGTACATTGTTAGCTAGATTCTAGCTCTCTCCTGGAAAGTTCAAGTTAATGGCTTAAAGTAGAGGTTGTTCAAAAGAGTTACCAGGAAAGATTCCTCTTTGCAGTGCCTCAGAAAATTATTAGCAGGTTTTGACTGAAGGAGTGCTGTTCTAAGAGGTCACTGGTCTCGTGCTTTCCTACACATTTTCTCCAAACCCTTAGCACAAAGGCATTGAGAAAATGGCTGTGAAACAGAGTCCCCAGTTTCAAACCACTCAAAGCTAGGTTTTTGCATTTGCTGTGTCGTGGCATTACAGGGAGTAGAAGATTGAATCTGGATGATTAGATTCATGTTTTATTCATGTTCCTGCCTGAATACAAAAAGACTTTTCAAGTTTATGTGAGGTCTTCAAACTTACCACTCATGTTTCTGTAAATCTACTTTGTATTTTGACATTCTACGTTTATATTTAAAGAAAATATGTTTGTACCAAGAGACAGTAGACAGTTATTTTTATTCTGCCTTTTAAAGGCAAGCACCATGTATATAGGTAGACATCTGTTGGTTTATTTGAGCAAAAACAAGGTATGTACACACACAATTATGTTGAAATTCAGATGCCTGCTTTGCTGCTTGCTAAAATGTACTTTGTTTTTGAAGTCTCCAATTGTAGCTTCCACTAGTGTATCAAAACATTAACAATATTTATAAAACTAAGGTTTTATATCTTGTGTTTTTAATCTGAGTCTTCAGAAAAAAAAGCCTGCAGCATGTCTGGAAGATATGTAAATCCATTTTAGTTCTCAACTCTAGAACTTGTCTGATGCCTGTGTTTTGACACGGCCATCAAAGATGCCACACTTCCTCTTTAAAATCACAACCTGTTGTCTCCCAAGTGTCTTGCTGGTTGTAACGCAATGTTTTCATCTGATAATTTCTGATAGTGTGGTCCTTTAGCTATACATTTAATAAAAGACTTTATCTTTCCACAGGCCATGATTGTTTTTGTGGATCCCAAGAACTTCCATTTAGAACTATATTCTATATTCTTCTGCCTTTGTCATGACCCTGAAGTTCCTGTCAGATATACTATGGCCATAAGCTTCTATGAAGTAAGTCTACAGAGGTACTTTGTTAGTACTTACATGTTTTCGTTTTATGTTGTTTTTTTCTTTAAGCTTACATTTGTGACTGTTCAACCAAAAGAAAGAGACTTGAGAAAAATTCTTGAAATTTAGTTTGTGAAAGGTGGTCAGTCCCTTCTAATATATAAATGCAGCCCATATACACACATTAGTATTTAAGTTGTGTGGCATTTGGCTACAAGAGCCTATAGCTAAGTGAGCTCTTAAGTTTCTTCCAGCTTTTGCTCCTTAAACTGGTCTAGTACCACAAACATAAGCAATTGTACTAATTAGAATATTTTAAGGTTTTGAATACTATTAGAAAATAACGAGACAAACAAGAGAAAGGAGCTTGCCACTTAAGGTCCTGAAAACCTTCTTTAGAACTGTACAGTTTGCTACTATGCTGGTGTTCTGTGGAGAATGTTTATATGTATCAAATCTATGCTCAAATTTAATATGAAACTACTTGGCAATTTATGCAGATGTAAAAGCATATGTATCCTTATTATTCCATTCAGTTTACATAAATTCAACTGTATTATTTTCATAAAAGTTCAAAACTGTACAGCTGCACAGATATTATTAGCTATATGGGGTGAATTCCAGTAACGAATATACACTTTCTACCCATATAGGGAGATCTTAAAGGTTTTCATAGTGTTTTACTGAAAATCCTTGTGTTTCAGTCCTCGAGCTACCTTTTTATCCCATTTTGTTGTTGCTGCAGAAATTGGTAAGTTAAGCAGCTTGCTGAAAGTATTTAAATCACTAGTAGAGGCATAAATGAAGCCAAGGTAGCTTTATTTCTACCATCTTAAGGAAGATGGATGATTTTCCAGTTCTCTTTACCTGTTGATGCCTTGTCTTAACAAATGATAATCCAAGGTAATTGTTGAAATCATAAAATTAACATATAATTGTACATAATGTTTCATGTCAGATGTATAACACTTTTAAGATACTGCCTGAATATAAGTAAAGTATTTTATCTCATTTAAAAAAACCTGTAAAGTTATACCGTGGTCTGAATATGCATTTAGTGCTGGTTGATTTATTTTTAACACCATAATTTGCAACCACGTGACAGCCAGAAATGAGTAATTTATGGCATTCACTGCTAGGTGGATTTTTTTTTTTTTTTAAATAAACTCTCTGTAGCCATTTCTCTAAAGCTTCACCTTGATTGGAAATAAGGTCTTATTTTCACCTGGCTTACATAAATAAAGAAAACCATTAAAAAACATCATCTAAATACTTTATATGGCAAAAATCTCATTCCTCAGCTTTTTCTCATATTTGCTATAAAACCTTTTTATCAGTGTGGAGATGCACTTTTTGTGGTTTTTAGAAATTTGTGACTTATGAATCACAGTAAAAAAAAAAAACCTAAAGAAGTAAGGAGTGAAAACTTCGGATGGAAGGTTGGGGAAACTTAAAATCCAGAACAGACTAAGCCGATTTTTATATTTCATCTTTTGTAACTTATACAGCTGACTGACTGTTAACTTTCCTAAGGAGCATGAAGTACAACATTTGACTATTGCCGAAGGAATTTTTCTAGCCTTGCAGTGCAGTCTTAAAATTTTTTGGTAAATGTGAAATAGAGTTAATTCTAAATGCATATTTCATGGTTAGGTAATAGGCCTGCTTCTTGACTCATATTCTTTGTATAAGCATATTTTTAATGTGATCAATGAGAAAGTACACAACTTTAGAAGGTTGATATTAAACAATTGTTCTGCCACCCTTCTTCATGCTTGCTGTAAAGTAAGCACATGTAGTATAGTTGTTGTAGTGCCAAGGAACTAAAGAATGTTTCACCTTGCTATCTTACTGTCATTTTTTAGGTCGCTAAGCTTTTAAATTCTGGTGTGTATACAATACATAAAGAACTGGTTACACTGTTACAGGATGAGTCACTGGAGGTAATATACTTTTATTGGAACTTTCTTTTGCTTGTTACATTGAGGCAGATTATCTTGATGTTTAATAATTCTGCAGTATGACAGTACAGTAACTGAAATGATCAACAGCTTTTACTTGTGTTTCACAGACGCTTTATAAAGATGCCAGCCTTCTGTGGATAAAAAGGAGGAAAATACTAAATTTGAATTTAGTAAACCCGTACTGAATTTATTAGCTTTTAAAAACATTCACTCTGAATTGTTTTAATTGCTATATTATTTATTACCTTACAAATTCTGTGGAAAGATTTGGTTTTGATACTATATTAAAATAATTACTGATAGCGTTCAAGGGTTTTGCTTTGGTTTATTTTAATTTCTCCAACTGAAGAGGAGATGAAGAAGTTGTGTATGGTTCAAAGACCAAGATTTATAGAAAGAGTTTCAGTCCAAGATCTGGTACAGAATCTGTGAGTCTTTGTGAGACAATTTAGTTTAGTGTACCTTGGTTTCAACCTGTGTAAAACATGAATCACTTAGCTATATTATAGACAATATAGTAAGACTTTTTTGGGTTGAAAAAGACAAATATTTATGTTTGAGACAAAATCACCATTTCCTCTGATACTAGTTATTCCAATAGTTGATCTTTTTTGTTTTCTATGTAGGATCTTTGGATATGGCATGGAAAAATGAGTTTTGCTTTCAGGTGCTCCTTTTTGTTTTGGTACTCTTTGTTAGACATTTTCAAGGAAATTAAAAGTGTTCATAGAACATCTTATAATTTGTGAAATTCTGACCCATCTTAAAAGATTTCTCAAGTTGAACACCTGAAAGTTGAGACTCAGAAGCAGCTGGTCATTTTTAAAAATTCCTTGGTTTGATCCCTATACAGTTACCTAAATAATAAAAAGTATTTAGTCCTTTATCTTATATACCACCTCAGTCAGAATTGGTACCAAAAAATATTTAATTATGTACTTTTCTAGTCTAGTTTCAAGTATCACAACATTTGAAAGTAAGGTTTTTCTAGTAATATAGGCTATATATTCTATTTTAATTTAACAACTGCAGTTTTTCTTAAAGCAGGAAAAATTGCTTTTAAGATTCAGCTGACAGGTATAAAAAAAACCACTGTGTTTGTCGAGGCTTTTACTTAACTGTCTATGAAATACAGATCTTTGTTAAGAATAAATGTTCATTTTAAAATATTGCATGCTGTGAATAATTTAGAAAGCGTAGACTGTGGTATTCACATAAATCAAAACTATGGTTTGTTTTCGTAAACTGAAACCTACAATACTTAGATGACTTACTACATTAAAACATCAATTTTAAATCCCAGTTCTCATCAATGCAAATACATTGCACCTCATTTTTTTTTTTTTTTAATAAAAGATGGATGTGAGAGAACAGTAACATAAGAGATGTTGGCAGGGGTATGTTGGTGAGAGATAAAAATTGAGTCAAGTTAATTTACAGACCTCATTCATGCAGTCTTTCTTTAAATAGGTGTTAGATGCCCTGGTAGGTCACCTCCCTGAAATCCTTGAACTAATGACTAATGGAGGAGAAAACAGTGGATCAGAAAGCAAGGTGGGTATTCTCATGTTTTTTAAATTTGCTTTCTAAATGAAGGTAGTAGCAAAGTTGTTTAGCCATATATTGTATGAAAAGGCTTTCGTGATTAGTTTCTGCTTTGGAGAGATACAAATTTTCTGTGTTTTTTTGATTGATTGTTGACTTTATAAACTTTCAAAACCTTTTTTTTTATTTTAAAGATTACACTTAGTATAAAAATGAACAGTTTATCCATGTTCTTTTTCTAATTAACCACAGATTTGCTGAAATAGATCAAATTTTGAAATACAATCATTAAGTTAAAACAAAACTTGGTTTCATGCTAAAGAAGTGATAGCTAATACCTAATTTTTTTTTTATATTGATGTGGCAACTGCCCATGGTTGCCATTTTCAGGCACAGTTTCTGCTAGGAGGATGCCTGTTTCCTGCGGTAAAGGCACTGAGTTAGGATTTAGGAGATCTGTATTCAGCTCCCAACTTTATTAATTTAATTCTATGTGGCTCTGGATGGTGGTTTACTCAGTGAGTGCTCACCTGTAAAAAAGTACATAAAAGATCATCTCCTGTTTCAAGATGCTGTTTTGAGCTTACTTCCTAAATGTATAGAGAAATTGAAATATTCCAACAATGTAAGAACTGAATAAATTTATTTTCTTATATGGACAAAAGTTGAGAGTGTAATTTAAAATGTGAATTTGTCAGAAGTTTACAGCTGTAAATGTATATAACATAAGTGCCATGTCAAGTGTGGCAGTCTGTTTCATTTTGCTTAGTGCTAAAGAGAAGTTAGCTTGGCTACTATAAAGTCTTTGCCTCCTACTGAGAAAAGGTGTATAATTCCTACTAAAATTAATTAGGGAGTTGAGAAAAATAACCGCAAAGTTTAAGAGGCTAGGAGGAAAATGGGTTTTATTTGGTTTGAGAAAGAGAATACTGGGGAGGGTTATCGTAATGGCCTTTATATCTGCGAAAGGGTATTACGAAGAGAACGGTGATCAGTTTTTCTTTGTCAAGAGGGAAGGGGTTGGAAATGAAATTGTGTTTAGTTAGGTACTGGAATAGCTTTTTGACTAGTTAAGTGGAATTTACTGCTCAGGGGAGATTGTTTAATCCCGATTGTTAATTTTTTTTAAGAACAAGTTAGACTAGTATCTACTGGAAATGGTCACAGTGTAGCTGATACTGTCTGAGGAGAGGAATTAATTGACCCCTTAAAATCTCTTCCCTTCTTACATTGTTATGATGTGCTTTTTGAGCGTAGTAACATGACATACAGCTAGAAGATGTAAAATTACTTTAATGTTTATGTTTTTATTTCTAGTTATTGTCTATTCCTGACTTGATTCCTGCATTAACAACAGCAGAACAGAGAGCAGCAACTTCTTTAAAGTGGAGAACTCACGAGAAGTTACTACAAAAATATGCATGTCTCCCTCATATCATATCAAGTGATCAGATTTATTACCGTTTTCTTCACAGAATGTTGACAATCATTTTGACAAATGTGAGCCCGTCTGTCTCCTATTTTTTTCATTTGTTTACTGTATTTAGAAAAAAATAGCACTAGATATTTGCTATGTGTAGCACTTCATGTGTTATATTAATCTTAAAGTAGTATTTCTCGTTGAATTGTATATCAGGCTGTGGTTTTTTTATATAAGACTGAGAAATTGCTCTGAGAACTCCCCCCCCCCAGTTTGAGGAGAAAAATTTAGTTTGGCAGATTGTCCTGTTTTTCCTCCCACCCAAGACTTCTTTCCTTTCCTTGTGCTCATTATCAGTTTGTTTCTAGGTAAATCAGAACTTTTTCCTCTGACATATGCCTTCTTTTTCCCAATTCCATAGATTACATTGCATTGTGTTCCATTCTTTATGAAAGAACACTTAATTCTGAAAATGAATGATCATTTAGAGCTACTGGTCTGAAAGTTTATTGAATTAATTGAAGAATAAAACTGTTGTAAGAGAAGACATTGTAAATTTTCTTTTCTAACAGCCACAATATAGAAGGTGCCTTCCAAACATGGAATACTTTTAAGCGTTTATGAAGTGGTTGAATAAACAAGTTAGGCAGAGGGGATAAAGAAGTGTCTCATAAATTGGCCAAACTTCATTATTCTCCCTTACTTTATGCCAATTATTTCAAAATTTCAAAGAATCATTGAATCATGGAATATCTCAAGTTGGAAGGGACCCGTAAGGATCATTGAGTCCAACTCCCCGCTCCTCGCAGGACTACCTAACACTAAACCATATGACTAAGAGCGTCATCCAGACGCTCTTTGAACTCTGACAGGTTTGGTGCCATGACCACTTCCCTGGGGAGCCTGTTCCAGTGACCGACCACCCTCTCAGTGAAGAACCTTTTCCTAATTTCCAATTTGAACTTCCTGCAAGCTTCGTTCCATTCATTCCAGAATTTATAAAGTTAGGCTAATTTTTAGCTATTTTTGCTACTTCTAGAGTTTTTATAAGTTTTTAGTCATATTCCTTCAGGTATATTTAACTGTGTTTCCTTTATTTCTTTCAAGAATGTCCTGCCAGTCCAAAAAGCAGCTGCTCGAACTCTCTGTGTTTATTTACGTTATAATCGCAAGCAAGAACAGAGGCATGAGGTTATTCAGAAACTGATTGAACGTAAGATAATTTTTCCGTGACTACTTAGAGATGCAAGTTAGTTTTGACTGAAGATCTATTTATGGTTATACTTATTCAGTGTAACTTCCTGCCTTCATTGGTGGGATTACACTTAAAAGACATTCAGTTGCTCATATTATTGTGCGTATGCGAGGAATATATCTGAAGCTTATGCAAAGGAATTGGGAAAGAGGCAATATGGGAAATTGATAATATGCCAAGACCCCTCCAACCCTACTTCTTGAATCCAGAATTGCTTAGCTGTAGGTGCTGCAATATACGAAGCAGAGTTCCTCTATACAAGTAAAATTCTCTAGAGCCTTCAGCATAAGAAGTGATGGATAATCTTCCCAGAAATTAATTTACCATTTAGTTAGTCACCTTACTTCACTTTCTGGTCTATGCTATGGGTTTTAAAATAGGTTAGAAGATTGAATAATTCCCATTAGCAATCCTTAATGTTTACACAGTAATTCTACACTGGTGACATGGTGTCATGTCATATAGGGCCTTATTCAACACAGTAGCTAGTTCACTTACTATTTTTGCTTTTTCAAATGGCTAAAGGCACAGGTTGGATTTCCAAAAAAAAATGCTCACGGACAGAAATGGTCATTGAATTCAGAAGGTTAGGCTTTCACTGAAAGAAAGAATTGAGATAGGCTGAGAAGGTGTGCCTTGTGATGAGTGTGATGATCATCTTTGAGTCAAAGGTTAACCTTTGAAATGTTTTCTAGCTGACATTGAAAACTTAATAGATAATATCTGTGGATTGTTATTTTTCAGAACTGGGCCAAGGAAAAAGTTATTGGAACAGGCTTCGGTTTTTAGATACTTGTGAATTCATTATGGAACTGTTTTCAAAATCATTCTTCTGCAAATACTTCTTTCTACCTGTGCTTGAACTTACACATGATCCAGTGGCAAATGTGAGGTACTGTATGAAGAGTACGTAGCAGTGTACAGGAAAAAAGCTTTAAATAATATATTAGGAAATATTGTTGCAGGTTTTACGTGTTGTTTAAATAATGGGACTTTAGTAAAAAGGTACGGACCCTTCAGAGTGACAAGTATTAAAGGTGTAGGGACTAGGGAACTATGGGAATAATGTTAGAAAACCACAGCAGGGTCAGTCGGAGCGTTTGGGGGACTGATTGAAAGTGTCAGGTTTTGGGAGTGAGAAAGGAACTCTGAGGCAGAGGAGCCAGCAACAGATGAGAAGAAACTAGTACGCTGTTTCATGGGTGTAGAGGGAGAGAAATGTAACTTCACAGTGTCCATTAATTTCCATCCATTTCAACTTCATGATATGTAAAGTAAAACACACAAGCAATTCTTTCAGTGGTCTGAGTTTAACAAGTTAGCATAGGTTTTACCTTATGTAAAAGTTTTCTACTTCATTGTTAAATTGAAAAAGAATAGAAAAAGTAAGTGAATTTGGTATGTTACTGATTTTTATATAGTGTTTTTTCCGTTATTTTGTAGTCAATTTTTTTCTTCACTAAACAGATAGGGACCAGGCAGTTATTATCAGTAAGAAAATAATTCCTTTTTTTGGTCATGTATTTTGTGTGATTATATGCTTTTAATCTTATTTCTGATGTGTGTAATTCATGTTGTCATCATTAACATGTCCGAACATCTAATACTAATGCTGCATAAAGATTTACATAAGCATAATTTGCACATACATGTGTGCATTCAGTAAGCTTCACTAAGTACACTTTATTACCAAGTGAAACTGTTTAAATAAAGTTTGTGTTTAGTATAACTACATCTCAATTCTGCAGGATCCCAAACCCAAAAACTGAGCCATTTTGTGCATATAGGTTAACATTCATGTGTCATGTCCTTACATTAAGAGGATTATATTAAAACAATAAACTAAATTTATATATAATCTGAAGTAGCTTATTGCTTTTAACAAATATGTTAATTAAAAGCTCTATTGATACAATATTAAAAATTAAAGGAAACTTGGAATAAGTTGCAGTCTCTTAACTGACATTAAAACCAATTTTGTCATAATGCTTTTCTGAATTGTTCCCTAACACTTTTTTACAAAAGGAATGCATTGTCTGTGGTGGACTGAAGTTTAGAAGTCAAACATAGCTGTTCACTCATGATTTTAAAACAAACTTGGGGAGATACTATTCTAGCGTTCTACAGAGTGGTGTAACTCTTTGTAATGGGAAGTTGTGAAGGCTAAAATGTTTTGAAGGTATAAAACCAGTAAGATGAATTCGTATAAGAAATTTTTTTTTGAGTGTTATTAATCACAAAGTTACCATCTCTGGCACCAGATTGTCTCTTATCACAAGCCAGTGGAATTTGAGAACAGCAGAGAATATCACCATATATTGTTCTTGAGGGGTTTTTTTAATCTATTCCTATAGATTAAAGGTTTTCACTATTATATGCTATTACAGTCTGACCAAATGCAGTGATTTTTATTTTCTTAAATGTATGAAATATTTTTTATTTAATCTGCAGAGCATTTTGGTTCTAATCATATAAAAAGCAATGGACACATTTTTTTATATAACCAGTTTAGAAACAGTATCTAGCAATCAAGGCAAATCAATTAGCACAGAATCATAGAATCATTTAGGTTGGAAAAGACCTTTAAGACCATCA